GGTTGAAGAAATTTACCATTATTCTAGCTTGAAAATAAACACTGTTCATCTGCTCAGATGCAAATTTCATCCAGATCACAAATTTCAATACTGTACCTATGGCGCTTCAATGAACCTACAGCCGTATTCTCAGGTCAATGATGGATATATATTTAGGTGTACAGAGTTTAGGAAACGAATAAGTGTTCGCACTGTAAGTGAAACTCTCAGTTAATTGTCTTCTAGGAACTTTCTTTAAAAAATCGAAACTTTCCTTGACGAATATACTGTTCCTTTGCCATTATTGGGTTTTGAAGTCCGGTGTGAGGTCAACTGCGGTTCAGACAGAAAATACGTTAACATCTACGGTGTAATGGTTCCAGTTTAGTGAAGATTTAGCGTCGTGGGAAACGAATTGTATTTTGATTTGTCACATTACAACCTGACTGATAGAATTCAGTCTACACCAATCAGAGGACTAGACGCATCACGCTAGTTACTAGTGTCAAATCAAAATATCCACTACATTTCTACAGGAGGTCAATCGCGAGCCCGAATAGCTCGTAACATCTCTGACTGCAGCACTAGGTGACGCGGGTTCGAATCTCAGAAGGGACATGAATTTCTTCAAGGCTGCAGATACGCCTTGCTGACGAGTGCCAACTAGCACGAACCCGGGTCCAAGGCTTCCTGCCGATTGCCTCCAACCATCTAATAACGAATAGTATTACTCAAGTGTTGGGAGGAGTCGGTGTAGTCGTTCATATCGATGAAACGGTCCTTATAAGAAGAAGTACAATCGCGAATGTGCTAGAGCGAATGACGTTTGGGTTCTGGGAATTTACGACACTCAGATTAGGATAGGATTTATCGACTTATTCCAGATAGGAGTGCTGATACACTTCTCCCTACTATTCAGAGGCTCGTCTTGCCAGGTACTACCATTCACACGGATGAATGGGCAGCATATAACCGATTATCAGATTTAGGATATATACACCATCGAGTTAACCATTCTGATGAATTCGTCGATCCCGGGACAGGCACTCATACGAATTCAATAGAAGGTTTCTGGGGAAGACTCAAAAATAGAATAAGAGCTAAAAAACGGCTCTCAAAATTGCTCTAGGGAGAAAGATGAGATATGACAGGGAATGGCTGTCAACGGACACATACCTGGAAGGTAATCGAGGAGCGGAGAGGAGGATGGTGAAAGGGAAGATGACTAATCGAAGCAAAGATGGACAATAGAAGAAGAAGCTGAGCTCAATGTACACTGCACTGAATAAAGAAGTGAAGAAGAATGCTAGGAAAAGCGAAAGGCGATTCTACAAAACACTGGTTGGCAACCGAGGCAGAACAAATCGCAGACAGGTGAAAGAGACCTCAGGAAGAGATCAACCCAGATGATGAAATTAATGAAAGATGCTCAAGGTAACCTGATTACCAAGGGGAGAAACAAATAAAACAGTGAGGTGACAACTTTAAAGGACTCTTGGATTAACCATCACCTCTAACTCGCCCAGAAATATCACCACCACCACTGACAGCGCGCACAGAACTGCCGGCCGGTGGACATCAACACCCCCCCCCAACGAAAGCAGAAATCCTTAATGCAATCAAGCTAATGAAGTCCGGCTGGGAAGGCAGCTGTACTAGACGGAATTCCATCTCGAAGCACTGCAAACGCACCCAGAAACTGAGGCAAATATGCTCACACCATTATTACAAAAGCTTTGGAAGCAAGAAAAAGTGCCTACTGACTGGAAGAAAGGCTACGTTTTCAAGTTGCTAAAGAAGGAGACTTAGGTATCTGCAATAACTAATGGGAGTGGAATAATGCTCCTGTCCACATTAAGCAAAATACTAAGTCGCGTCATCCTGGAGAGAATAAAAGATGCACTGGATTCAGAACTCCGCCCGCCAGAAACAAGCTGGATTCAGGGAACCACACAGAGTACTTGAAAGATATTTCGTCCAACTTCATGACTCTTAAGCAGTAGGTACTCAAAACTGGTCAAGATAGGTGAGGCCCATCTCACCTGTATTGTAATGATCCATGCTGTCTTGCCTTCTATATAACTGTGTATAATAAGTACTCATGTGTGCATTTGTTTATTTATGATAAATGGGTGTGAAAGTTACAAAATAATTTCCGATCAAGTGTGAAATTAAAAAAATTACAACTAGGAATTAAAATTCCATAATAAACAGGAAAAGGGGACTAATAAAACTCAAACAAAGTAGCATCATCATTACTGAGAAGATTGACATATTGTGCAAATGATAGAAACGTAGAAATAGAAAAAAACCTAGTGGGATCATAACTAATGTGACGAATAATTGTACATGGACCTTTTCAGAAAGTTGTTGGCGTCTGTTGTCAGATGGACGTTGACGAAGTGGAACATTCCGTTGGATTCAGCTTCATGAGTAAAGTCGATGTTTTGGTGGGCATTGTTGAACATCTTAAGTAAGTTTTCAAGGTCCAGGTTCTCATCACAAATTACGAAAGTATTATCAATGTATCTCTAGTAGAGATGAGTTCGTCAATAGTTGATGATAAGGAATTGTTTTCTAGAATAGTTATGAAGCAGTTGACCAAAAGGGGCCCTAGAGGAGAACCCATTGCTGCTACTGCATCTGCTTACCTGTATATTCCGTTGTTGAAACTAAGGTAGACATTGAAGGTGCATTGTAGTAACAGCTCTTTTAGGTAATGGATCGGTATACCAACGTCGATGCTTTTGGACTGAATGTAGTCACAAAGGGAACATACGGTTTCTATCAGTGGAGAGCTGGTGAAGAGAGAGACGATATTCAAGGAGACCATTTTCTTATCTGCAAGATTGACGTTCCTAATTGAATCAACAAAATCGCATGTGTCACAGAGGTTGTGTCTTGATAGCTTTTCTTTCACCAGCCCGAGAATCTCCACCAACCATTTCCCGATTGGATGATATGGGGAATCTATCATACGTGGTATAGCATTGGGTGGAGTGGGACGTCTTGTTTCTGCACTTTAGGTAAGCCGTACATACACGGGTTGTAGAACGAGAAGGACACAGTTGTTCGTATAGTTCTAAAGTGATAATGGATTCTTCTTTCACTTTCTTCAACATCTTTGTTAACTAGAGCTCCGCCTGTTCGGTGGGATTTTTCTGTAGAGACTGTTTCTGAAACTTCTTATCATCAGATTGTATCACCGAGAGTTTGCTTAGGTAGTCTTATTTGTTCATCAAGACAATCCCGGTCGTGTAATGATCCCACTTTTATTATCCTTCAGTTCTTTCACCTGCCTTCGATGTTCTTTGGAGAGTACGTTACGAAAGCTGGGTTTTTTTGTTGACGTAATCGAGACAGCAATTAAAAACAGTTGATTTGAAAAGGTCTGCATTGTCATATGAGGATGGGAGCAGATCTTTCATCCGGTCGATTAAATTTATCGAACTGGACTTTCGTGTTCAGTTCATTCAATTTTGACGTTGCATCACAAAATTTAGATCAAAGTGCTAAGATTTGCATTTGAATTGGAGATAGATAGTGGAACATCAGAATACTTGTGAACGTGTATCTTTCTGGACAAGTAGGAAAGACGGTTTCTTTGGTAACAGACCTAAGGCCTTGGTTTAGTTTTACTATAACATCGTCTGTTCTTTTTTTGTAACCGTATTGGAGTAGTTTTCGAATGATCCTACTAGATTTTTGTATCGAAACATCCTGTCTACTTTTGCTATTACTACTTTTCTAACTCTTAATTGCACAATATGTCAATTTTCTCAGTAATGATGATGCTACTTTGTTTGAGTTTTATCCGTCCCCCTGTTCAAAATGTGCAGCGCAAAAACACATTGCATTACACATTTCATTCAGATAAATTACGTTTCCTTATACTGTCTTGTCAAGATGGTAAAATACAAAATAGATTAGTTTACATGGATATAATTATTATTTGCTTAATTCCACATAGTAACGAAGGTGATAATAATTTTCAACTTGATATGAAAGTTTGAAGGTACAAATATAGATTACAAAGGGCTTAGAGACAAGATTACATAGGATTAGAAAACAGTTACAACGTATGCAAAGTTGATATTTGATAACTGGAGAAATAGTTTAAAAGGTGAATAAAAGGCGACATTAATTATTTTCAACTTGATATGAATTACGGGGAGAGGCTTAGAAACAAATGTTACACAAAGGATAGGACGAATTACAGGTGTGAACAAACAAAATGAGCATGGAAACAAATTGAAATCAAAATTTTCAACTGGAAATGTAAGTTAGGAGGTGTGTGAATATAGATTACTAGAGGCATAGAAACAAAAAATTACACTGGATTAGAATATAATTTTAAAATGGTTTTTCTAAACGGATTACATGTGTGATCAGGAGAAGCATGGAAACAAACTTAAAATAACTAATTTGATAACTGAAAAATTAGGATGAATTGAATGAAGGCAAAGAGAGAAAATTACACACACAGATAATACAGCCTTTACAATTACCTTGGACCTAGTTCGGTATGTTCCCTTATCCTTCAGTTTTTTGTTTTGTTATCTGTGTGTGTAATTTTCTCTCACACCTCCTAACTAACATTTCAAGTTGAAAATTTTGATTTCAATTTGTTTCCATGCTCATTTTGTTTGTTCATACCTATAATTCGTCCTATCCCTGCGTCTCTAAGCCTCTTGTAATCCATATCAAGCTGAAAACAATTATCACCTTTATTCGCCTTTAAAATTATTTCTCCAGTTATCAAATATTAATTTTGCATACGTTGTAACTGTTTTCTAATCCTATGAAATCTTGTCTCTAAGTCCCTTGTAATCTATATTCGTACCTTCAAACTTTCATATCAAGTTGAAAATTATTATCGCCTTCGTTACTATGTAGAATTAAACAAATAAGAATTGTATCTATGTAAACTAATCTATATAAATGCGACTGTACAGCTTTTGAGTATAAAATCACCGAAAATACAAAATAAGCACAAAAGTATATGCGCGCATTTTACCTACCTGACTTTCCAGCATACGTTTACGTAATTCCGTGTACTCAATATACTCTTTAATACGAAATAGTGTACTGAGAAGACAGGCTGAGGTGATACCAACTGGAAAGGATATTGCCAATAGAATTAGTCCAGTTACTGCAAGCCAACTATTAAAAACAACACCAATAAGAAAAAAAGATTAGATTAGTCTGTAAAAAGGAAATGAACACGAAACTAAAATGTGAAATTGAATGAAGGATTTCATCATGAGCTGACATCAGTTAGAGGACCATTGGAAAACCTGCAGGGAATACTGAACAGGCAGCTGTTTCGTCCTAGTTTGGGACTCTTCTTCAGTACGCACCCACCAAGGTTTGATTTTAAATACTAGCAATGCCAAGATAGTGCAAATTTTCAGCTAAACAGATACTCAAGAATAGGACTGTTGATATTCGTCACTGGGTCGTTTACTGGCGGACTGTTACAAGGGAAGCCTAGAAAATGACATGCTACGGCCAACTATCGATAATATTCATGTGTACTAAAGGCATATGAATGATACTTCTATTTTTTGATTGTAGCATGATTAAACACAAGGTGTTTGGTTCAGGTATGGAATTTTGAGCATGTGATTTCTGTAGCCCAAATTTTCCAGGTCGACCAATTGATATTAGGTGTGCGTCGGCAAGGGGTGGAACCTTTGACCGTATGCATGGTCAACGACAGTCCTAACCGCTGTGCCACTGACGCACACATAGGTGGCGAGAATTCTAACATCGAAATCATAACTAAGTAGTTCAACAACTACCATCATGCGACCCAGTTCCCGTGGGAATCAGAAATGAACTTGGAGTTCCACTGTTTTCGGGTGTTTTGCTTTAAAGGAAATCTAATGGTTCTCTCTTCAGGGATCAAACTGCATGAAGCCAACATGGAATGGTTAATATCACTGGTTTCGTAGTTGGATCCCCTTGAGAAGAAAGAGGAATCTGATCTACTCCTTATCTTCAAGAATAAGAAGGATAGGTAGCAGTGGTACAATCGAGGGTGAGCTGGAGAGGTTCGGACAAATCCTCATGGAAAACAGATATCCTTCATGATTTATTGTGGAAAACATGAAAGTAAAGCAAGAACCTGAAAGAACTCGAACGGTACAGAGGAAACTGTTGTTTATGAACACTGAATTTAATCGTAATACCACAGCTGAGATTCTGAATAACCTTTGATTGGACTATAGTAAATAGTGTGATGTGTCTGGTCTTCTGTTTGGTGCAGGTCAGTCAGGTTTGCAATGTGTTCACCATTCTAGGTAGCTTGCCATCATGGTACACATTGATTTAATGATATAAGATGATTGGAGGCAATAGATAGGACTGATAGAGTTCAGTCTGCACAAAAAATAGGACTAGGCACAAGCTACGCTACTTACTAACTAGTGTCGAATCAAAAGTATCCTACAGGAGGTCGATATCGAGCCCAAAAAGCTAGCTCAGTGGTAGCATCTCTGACTCACTGCAGCATTAGGTGATACGAGTTTGAATCTCAGAAGCGACATGATGAGTTTCTTCAAGGCTGCAGACACGCCTTACTGACTGGTGAGTGGAAGCTAGCACGAAACCTATATCAGGTAGGGCTTCCTGTCGACTGCCTGAAGAAGAGTTTATTCAGATAATTGAGAAAAGCCTTCTTTTCGGCTGAGCTACGCATCAATTTCTACAGCCGACAAATGATCAATAGGTGTTTGAAGGGTGAACTACCGATTTGGGTCACTTCATTGTTTATTTATAAATTCAATTTTTCCTGTGGAGCTATTTATATTGGCCGCACAAAGCACACATCTTCCAAACGCATCTCTAAATATTATCTGGCATGCTTAGCAAAACAAAAGAGGCAAGGCAACTACAAGCTTAATTTTTGAGCACTTGGTGAAGTCAAGCTACTCAGCTCCACCAGAGTCGTCTTTAAAGATTATATACAGGATGAAGCCAAATGGTACAAAGAGCCTCAGGTTCCAGGATTTGTGTATGGGGCGGAGCCGTCGGCAATTCGTCAATACAACCTCGAATTCTGTATACAGAAAAAGTTTGTCTAGTCTCTTATTCTACCTTGGTTTTAACCTCTTCATTAGTCATTCCCTGTAAACTTTTTATTTTCTTTAATTTTTAATAATTTCGTTGCTTTTATTTTTAAAAAACTAATTCAATCATATCATTCTCACATGTTCCTTTTGGACATTTTTTCACCATCTTAACACTTGCTAAATGGACATTCAACTACCGGCTTTCTTTGCACTCAATAAAAATTTTAACGGCATCAAATTTCTAACGTTTTCTCCCTTTGTGCTGTTGAGTATTTACATGAACTTTAATTTTACTCTGAAGCCACTTCTGAGTATTTATATCACTTATGTCGACTCCTATCCCCATCGTAATACTCAATAATGGACTACTATATGTTTTTTGGTAAATATGAATACGACTTTACAGTCTCTATAGGTGATTTCTTCGATAAAAAGTTTCCTTCACTGAATTGTCTTTTATTTTCTTTGTGACTTAGTGGGCATTTTCGGTGATTATTCAATAATAAAAACGAGTTGGATAAAACTGACAAGGGGCAATCCAAATCAAGTATCCTGGAAGGTGTGAAACAAACAAAAACAACCAATCACGTATTAGGTCACACTAGGAGGGATGATTAATAAACTCATGGAGAAATCTCGTACAAAGGACAATCCAAATCAAATTAAAAGCTTTCAGGGAAACAGGAGCTGCAGATAGACCACAAGCCAAGTTCAACACTAAAAAACTGAAGGACCAAGATACAAAGGACATCTTCATTGCAAGCACAAAGGACAAAGCCGAGACACAAATCAACACTAGAGAAGAGGTTGGCGTCGAAAAGCATTGGGACAACTTGAAAACGGTGTGGAGTCAAACCTGCATGGACGTTGTAGGCAGAAAAAAGAGACAGGACAAACAGTGGCTCACTACGGACACTTGGAAACTAATAGAAGAGAGAAGGACAGTGAAACAAAAGATTATACAGTGCACCGACGAGCAACAAAAACAGGAGCTGAATGCAAGCTACAATACACTAGACAAAAGAGTGAAGAAGAGTGCCAGGGAAGACAAAAGAAAATATTATGAAACCGTGGCAAAAGAAGCAGAACAAGCTGCAGGCAAAGGAGACCTCGCCACACTCTACCGAACAACTAGGCGCCTATCGGGCAAAGGTTCGACACAGATTAAGCCAGTAAAGGATGACAATGGTAAGTCAATCACCAAAGAAGTATAGCGAAGAAAACACTGGGCTGAACACTTCAAAAGACTTCTAAATCGACCGCCACCTACAACGTGCCCAACAATACCAACAACGGAAGCAGAACTACCGATGAACATCGACCCTCCGACGAAATCAGAAGTCCTGAATGCAATCAAGATGCTAAAAGCTGAAAAAGCAGCAGGACCAGATGGAATCCCAGCAGAAGTTTTGAAAACAGAACCAGAGACAACAGTGGAGTTGATGACGCCACTACTGGAGAAGGTGTGGAAAGAAGGCAAAGTACCTGAGGATTGGAAGAAAGGATACTTATTCAAACTACCAAAGAAAGGAGACTTAAGTTAATGCAAAAACTGGCGTGAAATTGTGCTGCTGTCCATTCCAAGCAAAATACTAATCCGCATCATCCTGGAGAGAATCAAACAAGACCTAGGTGAAAAACTTCGCCTGGAACAGGCTGGATTCAGGAGAAACAAGTCAAGTATCGATCATATCGCCACACTACGGATCATCATTGAGCAAAACTTGGAATGGCAGTCACCTCTCTATCTCAACTTCATCGACTTTGAAAAGGCCTTCGATAGTGCAGCGTCGATCGAGAGGTGATTTGGAAACTACTTCGCTACTACGGGGTCCCATCGACAATTATACATCTCATCCAACAGTTACACAACAATGCTGCATGCCAAGTAATCCACAACGAGAAACTTACGGAAGCCTTCGAAGTGAGCACAGGAGTGAGGCAAGGCTGTCTCCTATCGCCAATGATCTTCCTGATTGCAGTAGATTGGATAATGCGACAGACGGTGGGCAGCGAGAAAACAGGCATAAAGTGAACCCACACAAAAATCTTGGAGGATCTTGACTTCACCGATGGTATATGTCTGATTTCCCACAAACTGGAAGATATGCAAGTGAAAAGCAACAAGCTGGAAGAAGAAGCATCAAAGACAGGACTACAGGTGAACATAGAGAAAACAGAGGTGATGAAGATTCCTGACCAACACCAACAGCAACCACAACAATAGACAACAATCAGCCAGAATAAATGGGAGGAACCTGAAAGAAACAACCTCCTTCACCTACCTGGGAAGCATCGTTTCAACTACAGGCAACGGAACTGACGAGAATATCAAAGCCAGAATCGGAAAAGCAAGACAAGCTTTCATTACTATCAAGTCTGTGTGGAGGTCAACAGCACACCCAGCATGACAATGAAAATAAGATCCCTATTTTCAACTCCAATGTGAAGTCAGTGCTACTCACTATACAGACCATAGACTAAGCGCGTCACGAAGAGCATCTCCAACAAACTACAGACCTTTATTAACACTTGTCTTCGCTCAATACTCAAGATCAGATGGCCGGTCAGAAGACATCAGCAACAGGGATCTCTGGAAATGAGCGAACCAACCCAGCAGGAACCGGCTGTGAAACAAATAGGCAGGGAGAAATGGAGATGGATTGGCTGGCCATATACTGAGGAAACCATCAAGTGACATCACTAGACAAGCCATCGCTCTAGTGGAACCCGAAAGGGAAGCGGAGAGTTGGTCGTCAGTGTCAGGGTGACTTGGAGGAAGTCATGTGAGGAGGAGATCAAAGCATGTGGGCAGACTCGGAGCGGTGTGAAAAAGTTGTTAGAAAACACAAGACATTGGAGGTGCGCAGCTGAAGCCCTATGTTCCTCTAGGAATTAAAGGATATAATAATAATAATAAAACTCACAACTTAATAAACAGCGTTTTCAACGACATCAAAAACAAAAGAGAAGAGCAATCCGAGAACAAAATCCCACTCTTAGGCGTCTTAATCAAGGGAACAACCACAGGGGAACTGGAAACTCAAGCTTATAGAAAATCAACTCACAACGACCAAATACTGAATT